TGAGACTAAATGTTTTTCATCTCGTGCTTGTCTTCATTAAACTTTAAAAGCAGCTCAAACTGTCACAGTTATCGTCTCTGTGGTTAATGAATGTGATAGACTCAGGCTAGGGCTGGGAAATATATCGAGTTTTTAAGATATATCAATATATTTTCAAACAAGATATAGAGTAAGACAATATCATTAACATGGATATAGTTTGTGTTGCATTAAAATAACATTAGAGGTGTCAGGTCACCTTTGTCTCATCTCACTGATGACTGACTGTCTGCTCCTCCTCTCTCTCTCTCATTGTATTTAAGGTTCATTCCATTCAGCTAAACAACATCAGGATATGAGTTTTGGTCCATATCGCGCAGCCCTCACTCAGGCTGTTGTCGACATGTTTGACATTTAACCGAGGCCTCTCTCTGTTGACAGTAAATAGAACCCTCCAGCACGAGTCATTTAAATGTAGGTCGAGTTCATGTTGTCACAAACACAAATGAACAAGCCGAAGAACGAGGGAGATGTTTATTAAAAGGCACAAACATACATTCACACAACACTGAACACATGACTGGCATATTTTCAGAAACTATTCCATCACATGGTTTCATGTTCTAAGGCATTCAGTGTCATGTCGTCTCCCTGCAGTGAGATAACACAGACGGTGTACTGATCTCTAATGTGAGGCGACGTCTCAAACTACAATCTCAGTGCAAAAATAACAAACTAAACGTTTAGCTGCTGCTCGAACAAAAGATGATTAGTGTGATATATAAGAACAAAAGATCAGAACATATGAACACATGCCATCATTCAAACTAGTCTGTACTGCCACCTAGTGGTGCTGGAAATACAAACACTGAGGCGATCATGAAGGAGTATTAGGGCCACATTAAGGGGAATTTGATTTAACTTTACCGGTAATTGTCTCTTTATTGGAGGAAATTGTCTCTTTTGTGGCAGAGGAAATGTCTTTGAGGGATCTCCTTTCATCACTCAGCAGCTGCTCTTCTCATACAACCTTTCAGAATAATATTTTAACCATTTATTATTTGAATCAGTTTACAAATTTACTCGTAAATTAAGGACTCTAACCTTGTAAATGTGCTGAATTTTTGAATATATATATTATTTTACTGTTGTCCTAATACTCCGTCGTAATCATAGGCTCGGTTGTTCAAAAGTTATCCAATAGGATGAAATCTATTAACCAGGGTGTTAAAAAGCTAAAAAAAAAAAAAAACTAACAAGATCAGATCTGTTTTTTAAATCTGGATAAAACCTCCAGTTTGTGACATTGGAGTGTGATAACTGATTCAAACAGACCAGGAGCATCCTGACCCCATCAGAGGGCTGATCCAGACTGGATCACACAGCAAGGAAACTTTTAAATAACTCAAAATTAAAAAAACATTTTAAAAAAGGTAGCGGATATTTGAAGGCATTTTTTTCACTGGATTATCTCAGCCTGCAGCCAAAGTTATATAGTGCTGAATGCAGGCGACCGGGGCGCTCTGTGGACAGAGACGCCATTCTCCCTGTTTGAAGTTGATTGTTCTATTGGAACAGATTTTGAAACGAGTATTTTAAGGGTGGAAAGTTTTCATATTGTTGCTTTAAAACACTCGCTTTCCTTTCACGTCTGTACCTGGATCGGGTTCATCTGGGATAAGAGTAAGCTGGATCACGTGATCCTAAAGTGGATTAACAAATCAGGATCATCTTTATCTGGATTAAACCTTTTTGAACAACCGGGTCCTTGGTTTTAAACTGAACCATGAGAGCAGACGTTACAGTAACAGACATCTTCAGACTTCTCCTTCGATGTTTTGTTGTTCCTCAAAAGATTAACAGTGAAACTCTTATTAGTAAAGCAGTAGACATTCACATAGAAAGCTAAATTAAAATGAAGTCACAGCTAATGATTCACGTCATGCACAGGCTCATGCTGTCCTTCAGGGGAGACGGCTTCTTACTGGAGGTTTGCATAGTTTTAGAACATTTTGCGGGGCTGACACTTGGCTTCTCTCTGTGAGACCGACGTTTGGCTACTCTAGGTACGCTGAGGTGGGATGTGTTAAAGGATTAACGGCTCTATAAGGCTGTGGGGGGGTCTTCAGGTTTTATCAGCAGTTTTCCAAGAGCTTCTCCCGGGGGGAAGGTGCTCTTCTTCATCCACACATCGTGATGTAAAGCCACTAACAAAAACAAAACATGAAAATGTTAGAGATAACCTGAGAACGTGTTTGGGTTGAAAGTGAAGTGTTCTCATGGAGCAGGACTCACCTCTGTGATGTTCATCTCAGCCACTCCTGATCCCTCCTTGTCAATCTGCTGGAAAGACCCTGTTGAGGAACAGTTACCACAGTCGGTCAGCAGAGGTCGCCAAAGTACACACATTGTTTTACGCTGGTCAGAGTACAGATCTGGTCCATATGTGATCCACTACTGGAGGAGAGGAGTCCCAAATATCCAGTGGGCTTTGAAGTAAACACAAGGTCGTTGTGCCCTAATGAAAGGATAAGCGCTAACATAACCTACCCTATGGACCTTAGTTTCAAACACAACCAAAACAGACCCAGACCCAGACCCAGGCTGTGTTGAAGTGAGCTGCAGGTAGTGACCTACCCGACCACATGGCCCCCTCTTGCCCCCACAACTCAACCATGTAGTCTGATGCACAGCAAGAAGTGGGAACCTCCCATCCGGTAGGTTCCTCGAGCATAATCAGGAAGGCCGGACAGTGAGCTCCAGCGCCCCAGAGTCACCCCCCCTCCATGCCGGCTCTCAACGCCCACCCCACCAAAAAAATGGTTTGGACCTTATCTTCCATCCATCCATTTTCTTCCGCTTTTCTGAGGTCGGGACGCGGTCTTTCTCGCAATGTTTTCCAGCTTCTCCTGGGGGACTGCGAGGTGCTCCCAGGCCAGACGGGATATAAAATCCCTCCAGCACACTCTGGGTCTACACTGGGATCTTCCTGCCTGAATCGCAAACAGACATTGAGATGTCTGTTTCAAACATCTACATCGATGTTATCCCACAAAATATTAGTTCAGACGCCTTAAATCTCAACTAAAATCCCTGAAGCATGTGTTGTGATGTGACGGTGTAACGCTCCCTTCATCATCATCATCATCATCAACCTTTATTTAAGTTCTCGGAGAGATCATTGAGGGCGACCCTCATTTACAATGATGCAGAGAAAACATACATAAATGATAAAGAACGAGAAATGAGATAAAGCTACTGCAGAAAATAAAATCAATAAGAGAGCAATAAGAACAATAAAATATAAACACTGAAATAATTTAATAGCTTGAAATTACTACAGTGATAAGTCAGTAATTAAAATCAAATAAAACAGTTACAGTCAGGTATTGGATGGTTAAAAATAATATTTCTAAAGTGTCCATAAGAGATATAAGTGCTCAAGTTCAGGTTCTGTTGTAAAATAGTCCAGGAGTTTGCAGCACTAACACTAAAAGCAGTTTTCCCCAGGTCCGTCCTGGCATGAGGAACCTGGAGAACCAGCTCTCTCTCTCTCTCTCTCTCTCTCGAGCGGGTTAAAAATGGAGCAGGGTTCGGATGTAACAAGGAGGTGATATATGATGGAAGCTTTCCAGTAAGGGCTTTATAGATAAAAAGATGCCAGTGGTTATTGCGTCTCTCAGTGAGGGAGGGCCAACCAACTTTATCAAGCAGAATGCAGTGGGGAGTCGTTAAGCATTCAGAGAAACAACAATACTCACTGAACATGGCTTCAAGCTTCACCAGGCAGCAGATGAAGTTGTCAAAGTCGATCAGCTCGTTCTCTGAATACCGGGCGACCAGAACCTGGTTCAGTCTGTTGTTCAGTTTAAAACCTCCACAGGGAGAATAAACAGAAAAAGGTTTGGTTACTCAGCTGTGAGTACAGTGTGTACAGTAAACGATGGTGACCTTTTTACAATAAGTATACCTGCTGCCTCCACGGCAAGACGCATCTCATATGAGCTCATGGCTCCGGACTTGTCGAGGTCAAACTGTCTAAAAATGACCTGAGAGGCAAAGATGGGAACATTTATAAATCAGGAAGAAAGTTCAGATTATATTCTTTGACATCAGTCCCTCACACTTACCAGCCACTTTCTGATCTTGTTCCAGAGGATCTGAAACTCCACCAGACCTAAACGAGCACTCCCGTCTTTCTAAGGACTCAGGGTTAAGGAGGGAAACACAAGGTTGTTTTGCCTTAAAGAGAGACAGTGTTGGAAGGAGAGAGTGGGGAATGACATGCATAGACTGTATATATGAATGTTTGAAGCCTGAGTGATGACCCCCGTCTGTTCCTGCAGGGGGCGCTGGAGTCCCATCGATGGCGGTCTCCATGCTGGAAATGCTGTCTCAGTCTAACTTTCAGTCAACCTAACGACAGGCTGAGAGCTGGAGCTGAGGCGGGTTTTAAACCTCCTGACAAACCGTTACACCGCGCCCACCTGTCAATCAGGTCAGCTACACGCCTTATTGTGAATAACTCTTATCCTTCATCAAATCAAAACTGATGAGTCATCAAAACATTCACCCCCCGTACAGTGTGTGTCCATTTCTCAGATCTCAACATCCAGATACATCCCGAAAAAAAAAATCACACCCCTGTTTCTTCCAGTGTGACATAACTGATAACGTCAGAGGATACATCCATCAGGTTGACCATGGTGCGACAAGATTCTGTGCTGAATCCGTCAGTCTTCAGATCTTTGTCTGAAAAATGAAATAAAAACAGTCTGATCTGAAAACAAACAGCAACTCAGAGGCTCAAAATAAAGGCCGTCCAGGAATCGGCTGGTGTTCACTACAGTGGAATCTAATACAGTAATGGGAGATGTATTACCGATATGTTAGGTATATAAACTTAGAAACTCACGGCGGGTGACGACTCTGTTCAGAATGGTCTTGAGCTCACGGATGGAAATCTCCATGTCCTGAAAAAACACACAAAAGACGAGAGAAGAAAAGTTTGTGACTCTTAAATTCAAGTAAGAAAACTTCATTCACTTTAAATTTCTTCACCTTAAAGTCTTTCTGTGATTTTTCACTCTTAAATGTAGAAATCAAGTATATCCTCTGAAAATAACTCTGTGAGTCATGACTGTCTACAATGGGTGTAACACCCGAGTCCCACTGTCTGTGATGTTTTCAGAGTTTTCAGAGTCCTAACTTCACTTTGTTTACATCGCCAGGACGGCCGGCTGACTCCTCCCCTCGTGTATAAAAGTTGTTTAATTGAGGGACTAGAGAAAAGTAGAATAACATACTGTACTCACTGCTTAACTGTGTTTCTAGATCACGCTCATTTCAGGTAAATTTACATGCAGTGTGAAGATACCAGCATAATAAAGATCGCTAGCATTAGCATGCTAACACAACAATGCAGCGCAAGTTGTTTTGGTTTCATGCTGGTGCTCAAGGGCGACATCTGCTGGATCAAAAAATCACATAAAAAGCCTTTAAAAAGGGGTGCTTAAAATAGATTTTATTGAAGTCGTTTCACGTCTTACCTCTCCTGACAGCTGAGCGAACATCGACTTGAAAGAGTCATCGATGTCGTCCTCTGTTATTTCATCCTGTGGGAACCACAAACATGAAGTCATCGTTGATTAAAAATATAAATAATGACTTTTCATATCGTGTTAATCATTTAATGGGTACGTACTTCATTTTCTAAATCTGCAGAGATTTCATCGTCCAGTTCTCTGCAATTTACAAAAAACGACTTAGCAACATTTACAAATCTGCAAAGTAAACACACATGTTAACTGTGATTGAAACCACATACTCTGTTTCTGATTGCTTCTCTGTGAACACCCGGAGGACGAAGTCGGCCTCTTGCCTCGGCTCAAAGGTGGAGGGCACGATGAGGTATTCTCCGGGAGGGAGGCGGAGCCGCGTGCTCACCTCTCGCAGGTTGATGAAGGTCTCAGAGCGGGCGCACGATGAATGGTTCAAAAAGAAATCTTTCTTCAAGTGGACGTTCTGGCAGCCCCTAAACTGAAGTGTGGGGGGGGGGGGGGGGGGACGATGCATGGGGGGAGATTTATTTGCATGTTTTTTTTTTTTTAAGGATAAATACTTAAAATGACTGTCAACACTCTGCAAAGCATAATATAGTTCATTTTGAAACTTTTAAATCTGTATAGAGGGATGGAGAACGGCTATTTGAACATTTTTTTGGATAATTTCTTCACTTGTTTCTATTTCTCTTCCTGCTCTTACCTTCTTATTGCTGTTCTCTTTTGATTTACTTTTAGCTCTTTTAGTTTCTTACAACTTTTTAAATCTTTGATCCTCTTGGTCTCAGCTCGTGTTGTTGGGTCCTTGTTGTGCCTGGGTTCTAATGATGGTTCTTGCGATGGTTCTTATGATGGTTCTTGTGATGGTTCTAATGATGGTTCTTATGATGGTTCTTATGATGGTTCTTATGATGGTTCTAATGATGGTTCTAATGATGGTTCTTGTGATGGTTCTTGTGATGGTTCTTATGATGGTTCTTATGATGGTTCTTGTGATGGTTCTTATGATGGTTCTTATGACGGTTCTTATGATGGTTCTTGTGATGGTTCTTGTGATGGTTCTTGTGATGGTTCTTGTGATGGTTCTTGTGATGGTTCTTATGATGGTTCTTGTGATGGTTCTTATGATGGTTCTTATGACGGTTCTTATGATGGATCTTGTGATGGTTCTTGTGATGGTTCTTATGACGGTTCTTATGATGGTTCTTGTGATGGTTCTTGTGATGGTTCTTATGATGGTTCTTGTGATGGTCGGGTTCTATATGTCTGTTGTGTATCGTGCACTTTGGGTTCTTTTCTGTTGAATTGTATTTCATTATTTTGAGAATTTAGTATTTGTTATGTTCTTGTTGTTGTTTATGTTCTTCTGTGTTTGGTTTAGTTTGTTCTTGTTTTTGCTGTTTGTCAAAGCACTTTGTAAACCTGTGTTTTTAAAAGCTGCTATATCAATAAAGTTATTATTATTATTTAACATTGCTGCAAAATAAAGAGGGGCGGCAGTAGCTCAGTTTTTAGGGACCTCAGGGACCTGAGGGGCCACCAGCTCAAGTCCTGGTGCGGATCAAGTCTGGAAATTGGTCTGGTAGCTGAAGAGGTGCCAGATCACTTCCTGAAAACTATCAATGTTCCCCTGAGCAAGGCACCAAACCCCAAGTAAGCATAGAAGTAATCCATAATCTTCTTACCTCTTCTGGAATCTGCAAGAAGAGAAGAAAGTGAGACAAAAAAAAATACAATATTAGCTGATAGAAAAATGTTTTCTATCTTGAGTAAAACACGAGAAGGACAAAAGTGACAGTGAGGTTTTTTTCCGTCTCTGTTCTCACCGTGTACACAGCAAAGCCGATGGTGTGCATGTCCTGACCTTGGCGTCGATATCTGCGGCGGTCCTTCTGCATGAGAGCAACCAAAAAACTGCACGCCACCTCGTCGTCCTCCGGGTCGTCGTCCTCCTCCAGCAACGTGATCTTATACTGAGGGTTGATCCAGAACGTGTCTGCACAGAAGATGCATTTGTGTCAGCTTGTTTAGAGGACCTGTGTACACAGTTTTTAGAGGAGGAGTGGGGGGGGGGGGGGTTTCTTCTCACTGGGATGGTTCCTGCAGCCGCCGGCCGTGCTGCCTCTCCTCCACGTCCCGTAGAACTTGATGGTGTTCCAGTGGCTCATGCCATCCTCACTCAGAGCGTCAGGAGTCAAGTTACAGATCTCCAGCCGGGAAAACTGCCTCAAGAATTCCCTGAAGGACATCCTGGAAGATGCAGAGTAAAGGTTGGGATGAGGGGACTTTAAAGCTTCAGGCAGGGTCGGTTAGCTTAGCTGGATTGTGTCACTACAGCTGTAGCATGTAGCATGAAGAGGACTGTCTGAATGAGCAGCTTTAATAGTGTGAGTTAGTGCCATAACGCTCCGAGACTGTGGAACAACCTTCCTGAGGGTCTGAGAGGAGCCGAGAAGCGAGATTTTTAAACGTAATCTTAAAACTCATTTATTCAGTCTGGCTTTTATATAGTGCTTTATATAAATTCAAATCGTAACATTATTGTTTGTCTTCTTTTATCCTACTACAATTTTAAATATTCTTCTCCTATGTATTCATTTTAACATCTTATTGCTTTTATGTGTCGTATTTTTATTTTTTTATTTTTTTTAAAATTCTTATTGGTGTGCATTAGTCTCTCAATACTTTTATAAACTACTTTTTCGTCAATAACTTTTCTGCACTCTTGTAAAGCACTTTGAACTGCAATTTAATTTGTCTGAAAGGTGCTTTATAAATAAAGTTTGATTGATTGATAAGCTGAAAGTAGGATAAGCGACTTGTATCATGTGCTGTGTGCTTCAGGCTAACGTTCGCTGCAGCTTGCAAAAAAATCTTCTTTTTCTGGAGTTTTCTTTTTTTGTTACTGGTGATAAACGTCAACCATTGAGCACCAGCTATAAACAATCCAATATATTACTCACAAAAATCACAATTCCTTTTTTGCACCACTACTGGGTATCTCCAAAAAAATATGCATGAAACTCCCTCACAGTTCTACATCACTTTGGACATCTTACCAAAACTCTCCATCTTCCATCTTCAGATGCAGGTCTTCTCGCTCAGAGGGGTCGATCTCATCCCATTCAGGGGAGCTGCACAAAACAAATAAACATTTAGTTTAAAGGGGACATATTGTAAAAAAAATCCACTTCCACAGTGTTTCTGAACATATATCTGGGTAACCTGAGTGTCTACTGACCCACACAGAGAACAATGCTCCGTTTCAAATGTGCTCTCCTTGTGATGTCACAGTGGGATTCTGGTAATAAAAGAAAATCCCCTCCCCTCCCCTGATATCTCCACCCATGGACTCCACCCCCAGACTAGACCAAAACTTTTGAACAGGTCGGCCATTTTTGTTCTCTCTACAGAGAAGTGATGTCTACGGGGAAAACTCACGTCATTACATTTAAAGAGACACACACACCAAAACGGAGCGTTCTGAGAGAGCTGGTTTATACAGGGTCACAAAGCTCCTCTGGTGCTTGATTCATGTTATATTTTGACCAAAGCACAGCACAGATGTTTCATTTAGACCACAGGGGGGCTGTTTGAAAATGCATCTCGTTTTGGAATAGCTCGTCTGACATAGATGATCTCCTGTCCTGAAATCATCTCGAACATGTCAGGAGTGTGTGTGTGAAAGAGGCCTCTGCACACTCACTTGTCACTCCAGGCTCCAGTCCACTCTACCTGGCCCCACGGGTTACGCACTCTGATAAGGCGCTCCATGTTTCCACGGTAATCAACCTAGAGACGGACAAAGTGACGAGCAAACTAAGAACAGTTTGTATTATGAGTTAATACAGATTAAACACGGAGCAGCGATGCACACACACAGACCTCCTTTAATCCGGTGACCGAGTAGGCGTGTCCCTTCACCAGCTTCTTGAAGGTAACAGCCTCCATGTCGAAGGCGCTGGTGATCTGCAATAAAAAAAAAGACAACTCGATTACCGCACAGCAGTATCAATATAAGAGACGTGGAAATAAATAGAAGTGCTTTTAATGTGATTGTTTTTTTTCCAGCATTGATCGATCTGCGGGTCAGTGTGTTCAGCACTCACGTCGATGGAGCAGCCCAGCAGAGAGCCTCGGTCCAGAGCTTTGGCAATGATCCGGTGCAGATCTCTGGGAGCGCTGCGGAGCTCGTACATCTCCGACACGCCCCCTGTGAAGTCCTCAAAGCCTTCAGTGGTGCTTCCTCCTGACAGGGCCTCGTAGGAGCCGTTCAGCCTGACACCACAGAACCAACCCGCACTCAGAAATGCACTTCAAGATATCATTTAAAAACTCTCTGCTAAACACATGAATGCTGAATAATTCAGGCCCGTTAAAAAAAACCCACTTAGCGTAAGCTTTCTCCAGGAGAGCACTCCAGAACTCATTGCCCTCAGCAGAATGGACGAACATGAGCTCGCCGTCTTTGACCGGCAGCCTGTCATCTATCACAACATCCACCCACTCGCCGAACTGCCAGAACTGCAGACACAGAGCATTAATCAAGAGCTGCATCAGGCTAAAAACGCTCGCCGTCCACCAGGGGCCGGTCCTAAAGAGCATCTTAAAACATAATCAAGGTAGCGCCGTCTTTTTGAATAATCGACCAGGCCCAGAATAAGAACCTCCTGCTAGTTTTCAAAGCGTGCTTCATCGTGCAGGCCTCGCCATGATGTCGCAGTACCTGAAAGTGGAAGATCCCCGCGTAGTCGTCTTGGAAGGACTGACCATGAGGGACCACCCGGTGAAGAAGCCTCTCGTTCAGGGTGAGCGAGCCGATGGCTGCCAAGAGCCAGCAGTCGCCTGCAAGAGAGAAGACGCACCATCAGACTTATTTTGTCTTTTTTTAGAACAGATTTCATGTTAGAAATGACAAAAAAACCAGGGCTCACCCAGCGCTCCCTGACAGATGTCTGTTCTGGTGGCTCCGCCCACAATGAACTGAGGGTCATCTGTCAGTTCCTACCGAGACATTAAACATCAGAGTTAACAAGTTTTTAACAGATTTAACCTTCAAACTTCTCTCTTTAAAGAACTGAAGACCCCTAAGCCCGTTTTTTTTCCTTTTTTCTTTTTGGGCTTAATCTTTGGGTTCTTGTTGACATGTGACCAACTGAACAGCCTTCTTTCTCCTTGTTAGTTAAACAGTCTGCAAGCTCTACTTCAAAGGTGTTAGTACTGGATCAGTCTTGGTCTCTAGACCACTAATTGAAGGTCCCGGTCTTGTCTCTGATTCGATGTGGGGTATTATGGCAGGGTGTTTCTGTGGATTTATTGTATCGATAAGGGATATCAAACGATTACAATTTTTAGTCATGATGAGTTGCTTGATTTCAATATTTATGGTGCGTTATGGTGATTAGAAAGTCGGAAATTTCCAGTCACCGGTAGGATACGTACTCAGGAATGCTTCCCCTGTAACTCCGGAAACTCTGAGAACCTTCAGCGGTCCGACTTAAAATCCAACATGGCTGCTCCGTGCATCAACAGTAACGTTTAAATGCCCTGACACACCGAGGAGATCGTCTTGTCTCGGTCTCAGACCGGGCAGAAACCGGATCTTAAATCAAGACCACTTTTAAAATGTGATTTTGAAATATATCACCATTTTTGACAACCTTAACATAAACAAACGCATGTTTGTTTGTTTTTTTTAAGAAAAATGTATAAAACAACGATTAGGGTGATTTTAAAATGATGTGGTTGCATCGCTTGTACGGCAGAATATCACTGACCACTGATCGGGTATTATTCCACGTCATCACTGAGATTAGAAGGAAAACGTCTCTTTCTAAAAGAACTAATCACTTTAATTCATTCATAATTTTTTTCCCCGCGGTTACGGCCGCAACCTTCCGGGTGAGGGACACGCCCCCTAAACACAAGATGATGATTTTTCAGTGATATTTATGGTCTTGGTCTTGTCTCTGTCTCGCCCTGCCTTAGTCTTGTTCTTGACTTGATCTCTAACCCTAAATGTCTCGGTCTTGTATCGGTCTTGGATCTTGTTGTGTATGTATTTGAATGTATCCTGATACAGTGTTATGAGGTTTTATGTGATCGACTGCTGTTCATTTTGACTGTTTGTTTCAAGGCCCAACGAGGGACAAGAGTTAGCATTAGCATTAGCTCTAAAGTCTCTGTGCAGAACTTCAGTTTCACTATTAAATAAACAAATAAACTAATAATGATCTTCTTTAATGTAACACATCTTTCACATCAGTGCTATTCTTGCACCTACATGTCGACATCCTGTATTTTTACGAGGCCACTGTGAACGAATGTCAGAGTGAGGAGTGGTCAGAATGCCACCACGCGATGCCGACAGCTGCAGAGGTCGGCGGCGTTCGTGTCTCCGCTTGTTCTGCTCCGTCTGGGTTTGCAGAGACATGAAATAATAGCGACACTGATATGTTTGTTGACATGATCTGTTTCTCTTCGGAGGTCCAGTCCGGCCTCCTGTTGAGGGACGGCATGACTAACAATGGATGAATGTGTATCTAACATCTGCTTTACTTTAGAGGAGTTTGTGTTTGAAGAACAGATTTGATTTGAAAATAAAGATTTCAATATGTTAATTTTTTTTTTTTCAATTTTTATTAACCTGTTATATTTTTTTGACCTCAAATATTTCCAACAGTTATCAAATCCTTCATTTTATAGTTGTAACAGGACGTGTCTTGTCACAGCAGCCGCCAAGACAGACTTTAAAAACTTTGTTTTTATGGGGGGGGGGGGGTAGCAGAGAGAATCACTCCCATGATTCCCCGCAATCCTCGACGTCATCTTTTTTGTTTTTGTTTTGACTCAGAGTCTTTTCAACACACATGCAAGACGGCTAAGTAACAACTTTAACTGTCACAAACTCAAAACATAACAGAGGTACCACCTTGTGGCGCTATTTGGTACTACACTGTTAATCTGTAAGACAGTTCAGTGTTTTTTCAGTGCTCTGCTTCCTTAGTTCAAAAAACACTGCTTTGGTGGCAGCTGCTTTTTAAAGGTGCAACATCAAGATCAAGAGCTGTGGGTGATGCCAGGACACGACTCCTTTACAATGTTTTTATCTTTTCTTTAAGAAATTTCCTTAAATATAATCAAATATAAAACATACAGAGCAATAGAAAAATGTACTAAATGTGTCTGCCAAGAAACCAGAGTCCGTCAGTGGACTGGACAGACACAGGCCCTAAAGTAAAACACTGAAATGGGAGTGGTTGCTCTGAGTGACAGCTGCATACTGATAGCTGCATGCTAGCTGTAAAAAGGGCAGTGGACTGTGATGTAACCACGGCAACTGTTCCTTTTCCTCACCGTTGGTCTCATCCACTCCACATCGCTCGTTTTGGCAGAATGCGGGGCGAGCTCCTTGAAGCCCAGCGATGTGGGCTCAGCGGGGAAATAGTGGTCCTCAAACAGGCAGCCGGACTCCACGCACTCCTGCTTCAGGGCCTCGTAGTCCTGGTTGGAGAAGGGCACGGCGTGCTCCACGGAGCCCATCCCTTCTGCCCGCAGCCGGTTGGCGTATATGCTCGCAGATATTCCTCCCACTGGATCCATACTGGTGGTGAGAGACACAAACATGGGGCAGGGTGGGTGAGCATAGTCAGGGCTATAAATAGATCATGTAATCAGTAGCACACTCTATGTCTGAGGGTTACTGCAAAGCAATGATGTGTGGGCGACTGGGCGTGTGTAGAAACATAACGTTTAGTGATAAGGTGAGATGGTTTTAGCTGAGGGGAAGGAGCCTAACTTAAGTCTTAATCCGGCCCCGTGTTGACCCACATGGACTTTTTAAAGTTACAAAAACTACTTAAAGGATAGAAGTGTTGAGGAAAAAACTGATCTCGGCTTCTTGGGTTTTATTTATTCAGTTTCAAGAATGTAGCTTTCAGTCCCATCAAAGAAAGGATTATTTATTAAAGAAAGGACTCAAACATTTCCTCGCTACATCATTAGATAAGGCTAATCGTCTGATAATTTTAGATGACCCTGATAACCGAGTCAGTGGTGTAATATTTACGTTTCTACAAGTCACTAAACAGACACTTCTTTACAAAGCGATGTACATCAGAGAGTAAGAACAACACAAGTGAGGATCAAGAGAGGAGGAAACAAACATCTTTAAAGGGGTCATATTATGCTTGTTCTGGTTTTATTTACACTAGTTTAGTGTAGTGTGGTAAAACACACTCTTTAGTTTCACACTAAAGAGTGTGTTTTCCAAGTGTCCTGTGCATGTTTAGGCACATCTATGTGCAAAAATTCAAAGTCCACGTAAACGCAGCTTCTCCTTCGTTCTCCTGTTAGCTGTAGCATTAGCTGCACGTAACGCTCGGTTCTAGCCCCCCTCGAAAAAAATGTGCCAGTGTGACGTCTTGTCAGTGTGAGATCACTGATCTAAGCCCATTGGCTCATTGTGGCCCAGCATGTTGCACGCCCGTTAACTTCTGTAGCACGCCCACGATATGCCGTAGCCTGCGGTAGCACAGTAGTGCTAAGGTGCTGAGGTGCTTTGCTCCCCTCCGAGGCAAAGTGGCTGCATTCCCAATATGGTAAAAAGGGGCGTGACATTTCCGAGAACCGTGCTGAGTGACGGACCAATTACGGCAGAGCCGACAGGCCGACCAATCAGATCAGACTTGGCACACGTGGGGACTCTGAACGTGGGCGCTTCAGAGCCTTAGAGAGAGAGTCAGAAGCGAGCCGGTGCATAGAGCGGCAGTTCATGAAAACAGACACTTTTTAAGAACTTTAGCTATTTTGAACATACTTTAGTAGGTACATAGATTAAATATATGAACCCCAAAAAGGGCAGAATATGACCTCTTATAGTCTGATCGGACACAGAGGTGCTGACAGGAAGTGACCGGACGCAGAGCACAACATCATCATCATCATTAAGTTAGTAGGTGTTCATAAAGAGCTGGGTCTTTATCTTTTTCTTAAAGGTGCAGAGGGACTCTGCAGATAGAATGGAGTTTGTTAGCTCGTTTCACCACCGGGGGGCGACAGAGGAGAAGAGTCTAGTCAGAGACTTAGGACCCTGTTGTGAAGGTTGGCTCAGACGCCTTTCATTGGCGTAGTGGAGTCATTTTTGTCTGTTTTGTAAGCGAGCAGCAGAGTTTTAAATTTGATGCGAGCAGGAACTGGGAGCCAGTGGAGGGAGATCAGACCCTGCTGTTTTGGGGAGGTTGAAGACGAGTCGTGCTGTTGCATGTTGGATCATCTCATTAGAGGTTTCATAGTGTTGATGTAGGAAGACCTGCCAGTAGTTGCAATAGTCAATGTGTGATATCACAAGAGCCTGTACAGGAAGCTGTGTAGCTCTGACAAAAGTCTAAATTCTGATCTTGATGTTTGTGTATTTATGTTGTAAACATAAAGAAAAGCACAGCAGACAGCACACATGCAC